ATATACATAGCATGATGCAATGGTTATATAGACTATAGCCACCAATATGGTTATATACATAGCATGATGCAATGGTTATATAAACTATAGCCACCAATATGGTTATATACATAGCATGATGCAATGGTTATATAGACTATAGCCACCAATATGGTTATATACATAGCATGATGCAATGGTTATATAGACTATAGCCACCAATATGGTTATATACATAGCATGATGCAATGGTTATATAGACTATAGCCACCAATATGGTTATATACATAGCATGATGCAGTGGTTATATAGACTAGCCACCAATATGGTTATATACATAGCATGATGCAATGGTTATATAGACTAGCCACCAATATGGTTATATACATAGCATGATGCAATGGTTATATAGACTAGCCACCAATATGGTTATATACATAGCATGATGCAATGGTTATATAGACTATAGCCACCAATATGGTTATATACATAGCATGATGCAATGGTTATATAGACTATAGCCACCAATATGGTTATATACATAACATGATGCAATGGTTATATAGACTATAGCCACCGATATGGTTATATACATAACATGATGCAATGGTTATATAGACTATAGCCACCGATATGGTTATATACATAACATGATGCAATGGTTATATAGACTATAGCCACCAATATGGTTATATACATAGCATGATGCAATGGTTATATAGACTATAGCCACCAATATGGTTATATTCATAGCATGATGCAATGGTTATATAGACTATAGCCACCAATATGGGTTATATACATAACATGATGCAATGGTTATATAGACTATAGCCACCGATATGGTTATATACATAACATGATGCAATGGTTATAGAGACTATAGCCACCAATATGGTTATATACATAACATGATGCAATGGTTATATAGACTATAGCCACCAATATGTTTATATACATAACATGATGCAATGGTTATATAGACTATAGCCACCAATATGGTTATATACATAGCATGATGCAATGGTTATATAGACTATAGCCACCAATATGGTTATATACATAGCATGATGCAATGGTTTATATAGACTATAGCCACCAATATGGTTATATACATAGCATGATGCAATGGTTTATATAGACTATAGTCACCAATATGGTTATATACATAGCATGATGCAATGGTTATATAGACTAGCCACCAATATGGTTATATACATAGCATGATGCAATGGTTATATAGACTATAGCCACCAATATGGTTATATACAAAGCATGATGCAATGGTTATATAGACTATAGCCACCAATATGGTTATATACATAGCATGATGCAATGGTTATATAAACTATAGCCACCAATATGGTTATATACATAGCATGATGCAATGGTTATATAGACTATAGCCACCAATATGGTTATATACATAGCATGATGCAATGGTTATATAGACTATAGCCACCAATATGGTTATATACATAGCATGATGCAATGGTTATATAGACTATAGCCACCAATATGGTTATATACATAGCATGATGCAGTGGTTATATAGACTAGCCACCAATATGGTTATATACATAGCATGATGCAATGGTTATATAGACTATAGCCACCAATATGGTTATATACATAGCATGATGCAATGGTTATATAAACTATAGCCACCAATATGGTTATATACATAGCATGATGCAATGGTTATATAGACTATAGCCACCAATATGGTTATATACATAGCATGATGCAATGGTTATATAGACTATAGCCACCAATATGGTTATATACATAGCATGATGCAATGGTTATATAGACTATAGCCACCAATATGGTTATATACATAGCATGATGCAGTGGTTATATAGACTATAGCCACCAATATGGTTATATACATAGCATGATGCAATGGTTATATAGACTATAGCCACCAATATGGTTATATACATAGCATGATGCAATGGTTATATAGACTATAGCCACCGATATGGTTATATACATAACATGATGCAATGGTTATATAGACTATAGCCACCGATATGGTTCTATACATAACATGATGCAATGGTTATATAGACTATAGCCATCAATATGGTTATATACATAGCATGATGCAATGGTTATATAGACTATAGCCACCAATATGGTTATATACATAGCATGATGCAATGGTTATATAGACTATAGCCACCAATATGGTTATATACATAGCATGATGCAATGGTTATATAGACTATAGCCACCAATATGTTTATATACATAGCATGATGCAATGGTTATATAGACTATAGCCACCAATATGGTTATATACATAGCATGATGCAATGGTTATATAGACTATAGCCACCAATATGGTTATATACATAGCATGATGCAATGGTTATATAGACTATAGCCACCAATATGGTTATATACATAGCATGATGCAATGGTTATATAGACTATAGCCACCAATATGGTTATATACATAGCATGATGCAATGGTTATATAGACTATAGCCACCAATATGGTTATATACATAGCATGATGCAATGGTTATATAGACTATAGCCACCAATATGGTTATATACATAGCATGATGCAATGGTTATATAGACTATAGCCACCAATATGGTTATATACATAGCATGATGCAATGGTTATATAGACTATAGCCACCAATATGGTTATATACATAGCATGATGCAATGGTTATATAGACTATAGCCACCAATATGGTTATATACATAGCATGATGCAATGGTTATATAGACTATAGCCACCAATATGGTTATATACATAGCATGATGCAATGGTTATATAGACTATAGCCACCAATATGGTTATATACATAGCATGCTGCAGTGGTTATATAGACTAGCCACCAATATGGTTTATATACATAGCATGATGCAATGGTTATATAGACTATAGCCACCAATATGGGTATATACATAGCATGATGCAATGGTTATATAGACTATAGCCACCAATATGGTTATATACATAGCATGATGCAATGGTTATATAGACTATAGTCACCAATATGGTTATATACATAGCATGATGCAATGGTTATATAGACTAGCCACCAATATGGTTATATACATAGCATGATGCAATGGTTATATAGACTATAGCCACCAATATGGTTATATACAAAGCATGATGCAATGGTTATATAGACTATAGCCACCAATATGGTTATATACATAGCATGATGCAATGGTTATATAAACTATAGCCACCAATATAGTTATATACATAGCATGATGCAATGGTTATATAGACTATAGCCACCAATATGGTTATATACATAGCATGATGCAATGGTTATATAGACTATAGCCACCAATATGGTTATATACATAGCATGATGCAATGGTTATATAGACTATAGCCACCAATATGGTTATATACATAGCATGATGCAGTGGTTATATAGACTAGCCACCAATATGGTTATATACATAGCATGATGCAATGGTTATATAGACTATAGCCACCAATATGGTTATATACATAGCATGATGCAATGGTTATATAAACTATAGCCACCAATATGGTTATATACATAGCATGATGCAATGGTTATATAGACTATAGCCACCAATATGGTTATATACATAGCATGATGCAATGGTTATATAGACTATAGCCACCAATATGGTTATATACATAACATGATGCAATGGTAATATAGACTATAGCCACCGATATGGTTATATACATAACATGAT